GCGAGGAGGTATGCGAAGTCGTAGACGAGGAAAGCACCATTGTGCGAGAAAGATAGAGAGCATCTCCCACCATTACGAGAACAATACATGGAAAATTTATTAATTATTCGTTTTCTACATAAAATTTTGGCATTTTTAAGCTCGCATCTTAAAACTAGAACTTGAAACAACTTTCTTATATAAATTTTAATGTGAAATTTTTTTTAATTAATTAATTATTTACGATTAAAGCGCCATACGGCTTAATACATCGAAGACGCCATATTGAAAATTCATTAATTACAAGTTTTTTATTAAAAATTTCGATACTTTTAAATTCACATTTTAAAGCTAATATTTCAGACAAATTTCTTGTATTAATTTTAATGTAAACTTTTTCTTAATTCATTGTTTATTAACGATTAATATGTCGTATTTTTTATTATATCGAAGACACTACGTAGAATATTAATCAATTACTCATTTTTTATTTGGAATTTCGATATTTTTAAGCTTGTATCTTAAAAGTAGAACTTGAAGAAAATTTCTCGTATCAATTTTAATGTGAAAGTATCTTGCATTTCTTATTAAATCGTATCAAATCAACAACATTGAAACGTAATAGATTTTTTATTAATATGAGATTTATTCGTAAGTATGATTATATGTATTTGACAACATCGTTTTCTTCTCTAACTTTCGCGTATATATTTTACTTACAATTTTACTTAATTAATAAAAATTATGTTTAAACGAATAAATTATTCGTTTATTATTTTGTTACGAAATAGAGATTCGCAACGGACTTTTCACAACAATTGATGATAATTAAATAATTAAAAAGAATTTTACATTAAAATTAATTCGAGAAACTTGTCTGAAGTTTTAAGTACAAAATGTGATCTTAAAAGTGCCGAAATTCTGTGTAGAAAACGAATAATTAGTGAATTTTCTACATGGTGTCTGATGTATAAGAACGTATGATGAATTAAACGCGTCAATAATTAATTATTTAAAAAGAATTTCACATTAAAATTTATATAAGAAAGTTGTTTGAAGTTCTAGCTTCAAGATGCGAGTTTAAAAATATTGAAATTTTAATTAGGAAACGAGTAATTAATGAATTTTCCATGTATCGTTCCCATAAATGGCGGGAA